TGTTAATTGTATTTCAATTCAAATCCACTGAATATACAGAATATTGAATCTTACTGTTAAAGTCTCGTGAAAAGTGATATTTTCTAATTTTGTATTGAAAAAATTGTAATTAACTCATTAATTGACTATTTAATGTTTGAATCATTTTGATTTAACTAAAAAATAAAACACGATAACTATTTTGAGATTTCAATAAAGCTAAATATATTCACATTTAATACTAATCTAAATAGTTTGATAGGATTTAGTTATGAAACAAAATCGTTTTTGCTTTAAAAATGTCACATTTGTGTCAATAATCCTAATAAAACCCATTTTGAATCAATCTATTTAGATTTGATGGTCAATACAATCTAAATTATTATAATAACTAAATTAATTACAATTAATTAGCGGACAAACGGCTACTAAAGCAGAGAAATAAAAACTTAATTATAAAAACTCCGAAAAACTTTGGGTCCATTTGTGGCCGTAATTGATGTGAAAAAGTGGTGACAAATGCCTTGTTTTGAATGATTTGCAACTTTTGGCTCATATTTGTTGCAAACGTTTGGTTTGATTTCAAAAAACTCCGAAAAACTTTGGGTCCATTTGTGGCCGTAATTGATGTGAAAAAGTGGTGACAAATGCCTTGTTTTGAATGATTTGCAACTTTTGGCTCATATTTGTTGCAAACGTTTGGTTTGATTTCATAAACAATTAAAACACAATCAAAGCCAACGATGTCTTTGTCCACAGCTATGGATCAGTTCGCAGCCTTAAGACACGAATCGGTGCCATCGGGTGTGAAACGGGGCTCACATTTGGATGCAATGGTTGGCAATCACGTGAGCGAAGAGGTGTCCACCGGGGTATGCATTTTGTCACCACTCGCTTTCTTTGATGTCTCTTTAATTGATTATCTCCTCTATTCCTCCACATCTCTATTAGACATCTATAATGGCCGTCGAGTTTGATGGCGGTGTTGTGATCGGCGCCGATTCCCGCACCACAATGGGGTTTGACATCTCTTTTAGACATCAGTTTATCGTTTCGTTTTGTTAATCAATCGCTTGTTTTGTCCACTTCTTCAGCGCTTATATCGCGAATCGCGTGACCGATAAGTTGACCCGAATTACGGACAACATCTACTGCTGTCGCTCGGGATCCGCGGCCGACACTCAGGCC